TTTGGACTAGATATCTCGGATTATTTTCCTCTAGACCAATGTCCTTTTGCCCCTAAATGATGGACCATTTGCGATAGGGCGATTGAAACGAAAAATCCATTATTATATTATCATACTTCACAGATTAAAAGAACTCGATATGAAAAAAACGTTTCTTATTCATGGCAAAATATAACCAAAGCTAACACCACCTTATTTGTTTATAGTAATAAGGTATATGATTTAGGAAACTATCAAATGAGGATAAGTTGCTTGGAGAAGATAGCGTTACCGAAAGGCTTCGAGGTTCTCCTCGGTAATGATGAAACAAGAGAGATTCTTCATACAAGGAGACACAAAATGGTTACCTAATTTTAAAGCAAGAGACGTTGAAGGAACAACCATCGAATAGTATAATGACAGTCGTATTCACAGGAATTCTTAATCAAGTTCATTTTCACTATAGCATTTGATTGGTTTCTACCATGGCAGCTTGTAAAATATCGAAGAAACCAAAACCGATGATATGACATCACACATTTTATTATTAGTCACGTGTTATTCAGAAGGTGGCCAGTATGGATTTTTCTGACAAGTTCACAAATTATTAATGGTAATCGCTGATGATGACATAACCGGATCAGATAACGATAAAACAACTCCGGAGATATGCGAGAGGATTTATCTAATTCCGAGTCTCCGATACCACAGTCATACTTAACCGTAGGAGAAGGTAAAAAGCAACACAAATTATCGGATATATAATTGTAATGGACAATGTGTTTATTAATAAAGATGGCACACCAGAAGAACGAAAAGGGCTTAAAGCCGGTAATCGTGGTAAACGAGATTCAGGCCCATAATATTGATTTGTTTTAATTAATTGAATTGTTAAATCTTTTTGGTGACCAATCAAAATTTTCAAATTTTCAAATTAAAAAAAAAAAAATTGATTTTATTTAAATTCGGAATCGAACAATAATTACAACCTTCTAATAATTAATGGAATAAAGTATTTTGGAATTCTAAGGCTTGTCCTAAAACGAATAATAAATATAAAATAAATAGTCTTTATATACAATAAAGTTAATATCAAAATTCATGTGCCGATCAAAATTCAACGCACTATAAATTTTTTTAATCACAAAAATCTTTAAATATTCGGACTAACCCTATGACGAATTCAATTACTATAGTATTTTTTTCACTTCGTTCCGGCTAGAAACCAATCACGAAACGACTCAAATTTCGAGCGGCGGGACTTTGCTTTATTTAGACTTTTAAACGCCAATCAGCATCGACTCAATTATTTGAGCGGGACTAATCACGTGCCATGTTTATTCAAATTTTGATGTGTTTTTATGAAATCGTATTTTTAAGGCTACTTGGGCCGTTAAAAAATTTTGCATCTGATGCATTTTGATGCAAAATCCGATATAACTTTCAGCCAATCATATTTCTTGAAATTTGCATCAAAATTTGCATCAAAATTTGCATCAAAAAATCAGATATATAAAAAGGAAAAAATAAAAAAAAAAAAAAAAGTGAAAATGAAATATCGTTCAACTAGAGGATCACCCAAGCTTCTTACGTTTTCGGAAGCTGTTTTAGTAGGATTAGCAGAAGATGGGGGATTATTTATTCCTACAAATATACCAGCCTTACCAGAGAATTGGCGTAAAGATTGGTCAAATCTAACATTTAATTCATTAGCACTCGAGATATTTTCATTATATATTCCATCGGAAGAGATTCCACGTAAAGACTTGGAACAGTTGATTAATAAATCATATTCAACATTTAGATCTAATGAAATCACACCATTAAAAAAAATTCGAGAAAAATTTTATATATTAGAATTATTTCATGGACCAACATTTGCTTTTAAAGATGTTGCATTACAATTTCTTGGTAATTTATTTGAATATTTATTAGAAAAAAAGAATGAAGAAAAGAAAGAAAAAGATAGAATAACAGTATTAGGAGCTACTAGTGGAGATACTGGTAGCGCGGCTATTTACGGCTTGAGAGGGAAAAAAAATATTTCGGTATTCATCCTTCATCCACATGGTAAAATATCACCGGTTCAAGAAGCTCAGATGACAACAGTATTGGATAAAAATGTTCATAATTTATCGGTTGAGGGTACATTTGATGATTGTCAGGTATGTTTGTAAAACTGACTTATTAATTAATAATAAATTGACGGTTAAAAGTTCTAAATTTTTTTTTTTTTTTTTATAGGATATCGTAAAGAACTTATTTGCGGACAACCCATTCAATGAAAAACATCATTTAGGCGCAGTTAATTCAATAAATTGGGCAAGAATATTAGCACAAATAGTATATTATTACCATTCATATTTTCAATTAATTAAATCATTAAATATTACGATGGAATCAAATGCAGCAAAAGAAATTCAACTTCAATTTTGTGTACCAACAGGAAATTTTGGAGATATATTGGCAGGTTATTTCGCGAAACAAATGGGTTTGCCGATAAATAATTTATTAACATCAACTAATTCTAATGATATATTGGATAGATTTTTTAAGAATGGCAGATATGAAAAATTAAAAAGTGAGAGTGGAAAATTTGTTAAAGAAACTTTAAGTCCTGCTATGGATATTGCTATCTCAAGTAATTTTGAAAGGTTATTATGGTACTTGGCTTATAATGATAGTAAGGCTCAAGAAGAAGATAAAATTAAAGAAGTCAGTAAAATTGTTAGGGGATGGATGGAAGATGTTAAGACTAATCAAAGTTTAATAGTTGAAAAATCTATGTTAGATATTGCACTTTGTGATTTTAAGAGTGAAAAGGTTTCAGATCAAGAGGTACCTTTCTTTTTTTCTTATATTTTATTTTATTTTATTTTTTTTTTTTAAAAAAAAAGGAATTGAAATTATATTAACATGAAATTATTCTTAAAAAATATGATTTGATGATTTTAGACGTTGAATACTATTCAGAAATATTACGCACCAGAAAACAGAGATCAAATTTCTTACATTCTTGATCCACATACAGCGGTTGGCGTTGCAGCCGCAGACAGACAGATTATCTCACCGTGAGTATATTCAAATATCTTCAACATCTACTTTATATTCTAATATTCCATTCTAAATATATACATTTTTTCAATTAGTAATACAATTCAAATATGTCTTGCAACTGCACATCCAGCAAAATTTTCTCAAGCGGTAGAAAAAGCATTAGAAAATTTCAAAGCATTTAAATTTGAAAGTATTTTACCAAAAGAATTTATCGGTTTATTGGAAAAAGAAAAGAAGGTTGTATTTGTTGAAAAAGCTGATCCTTCTTTGGTTAAAAAGGTGATTGAAAATGAATTAGATACTGAACTAAATTGATGAGATTAAGAATAAAGTAGCGATTATTATTTATTTGATTCTGCCAGGAATTTAAAATAAATTTTTTAATTTAAAGATTCAATTCTCGATGAAAATCGCGTAACTTTGTCACTAGGTTAACTGCGATTGGTTCGTGCAATGCAAAAACAAAAAATATGCATTTAAAATTATCAAAAAATGCACAAAGTATGCAAATAAAAATCTATAAGTAAAAAATCAATTTTATTGATGATTATAAATATAAGAAATTTAACATTTCTATGAAAGCGAACTGCGCTTATCATCCAAAATTCTTTAAATGGTAAAAAGGCACGTGAAAATGCAAAAAAAATTGACGCCGATCATTTGCATAAATTTTGATTGGCTAATTATAAATTACCGAAATAGATATTTGTTGATTATCATTATTGTTATTTCATGCAAAAGTTATTACAATGTCTGGATCAATAAATATTCTTACTATTGATTTCAAACGCACCGAACGTATTGGGTTAACAACAGCTCTTCGAGAGTATATTTCTTACAATTACAATGATCACCCAGATAACTTTACGGATGATTTTCGCGTTCTCGACGAGTTAAGAACCGATTGTTTGAATTTGGAAGTGCATCAGAATGCCCTCCAGCGGCTGTTAAAGTGAGTTGTTGTTTTGATTAATTTAGTACATTCCTCTTTTTCAAAACGATCGAAATAAAATCCTTTTTTTTGGAAAAAGAGGTCTCAAATACAAATTGATTTGGTTTCTTTCAAAATTTAGATATTACGGACAATTGGTTTTTATTGGATCAAAGTTTCCTATTGATGTAGGTTTTGGTGGATTATTATTATTGTTGTTGTTTTTGTTAATTTCTTAAACTTAATTTATTTTCCTTGCCAATAGTTTGGCATAGAGTTTCCTTGGTATTCAGCTTTTTCCGATGAAAAAAGGCCGAGTATGTTCATCTGTTTATTTATCGTTATTAAGAACGTAATTTAATAAAAATTAAACAAAAGTTACGAGTTAATAATATTATTATTGCAATAATATGATTCTTATATAGTTTCACATCGGAATTTTTATTATGAGAAAGCGTGTGTGTTATTTAATATTGGCGCTATGTATAGTCAACTTGGCGTTTCGGAGAATAGAACAACCCCTGAGGGAGTTAAAAGAGCGTGCCAGCATTTTCAAGTAATTTTAATTGAACTTATCTATGTTTTTTTTTATCGTACAATATTATAATTCTTGATAAATTAACTTTTCAAAACCAAAATTCAGTATGCTGCTGGGTGCTTCAAACATTTAAATGAGGTCATAGTAGCAGAAATGCGTATCGCACCACCTTTAGATCTATCATCTGATATGTTAAAGGTATTGACTAACACGATGCTTGCTCAAGCTCAAGAATGCTTTTGGCAAAAGGCTGTTCATGGTAAACTTAAACTTAATTTTTATTGTCATATTTTTATAATTCATTTTGATTCAACCCGTTTTGCATTGGGTCAAGACAAATACAAGGACGGGACGGTTGCAAAGTTAGCTAATCAAGTATCCATATATTATGATCATGCACATGAGATTGCTTCAAATAATTCAGAAATTGCTAATATATTGGGGCAAGTAGGTTATTAATTCATATCCTACCTTTTAAAAGAGTTATTCGAGCACTCACTTTTTATTTTAATTACTAACATCATGAATTGCGCTCAGGGATGGCTAACACATCTACAAGTAAAGTCCTGGCATTTTCATGCTGCTGCAGAATTTAGAAAATCTTCTGAATGCATTAGTCAGAATAAATATGGTGAAGAAATTGCTAGGTTGCAAGTTTCTCAAGATTATATTAAAAAAGGTTTAGATCAATGTAGGCATTTGCGTGAAGCAGTTATAAAAGATTTAGAGGTATTTACTCAGATGTGAATTATTTTAGAACCATTTAATTACAATACATAAATAAATATTTGTTTTGTTTTGTTTCTTTTATAGTCCGTACAGACGGCCGTACAATCAAATCTTAAACGAGCTCAAAAGGATAACGATATTATTTATCTTCAAATGGTTCCATCCGCCTCATCATTAACTTCTATTGGTAAAGCTAATATGGCTAATCCTAATATTCCACCAGAAGTCCAAGACCCTATTTCTTTGATGAATGAAAGATCTATTTTGGGTGTACCCTTGTTCGTAAAACTCGTCCCTTATGCGGTACATCAAGCTCATAGTGTATATTCTGATCGTAAGGAAAAGTTGGTGAGGGATGAGATTTTATCTAAACTTCACGAGTTGATAAACATTTGCAATAGGTAACAAATTTATTATAAATGCTTTTTATTGGAAAATATATATATATATGAAATATATATATATTTTTTTTCACCTATATAGTACATTACGGTCTTTGAATTTGCCCGCAGCACTTAATGAGGTTGATCAGCATTCAAAAATACCACCATCAATTTTATCCATGTCTCAAGAGGTTCGTAATGAAGGAGGTTTGGCGAGGCTGAATGCCATGTTTGATACTTTACAAGATAAATCTAGAATTGTCTATCAAACTTTGGATGAGGTAATTTATAAAATTTATTTGACTCCAACAATCCGGCTGGGAATTTTTCTTAAATATTCATTATTTATTTTCTTATAACAGGCTCTTGCTTTTTTGGATCAAGAATGCACTGACGACGAGGAATTTAGAAATAAATTTGGTGAAAAATGGACTCGGCCTCTCTCATTGTCAGTAAATAGAGAATTGACTGAAAAGGCGGATAGCTATCGAAAGGTTTATGATCAGGCTTATAGAAGTAATAAAATTCTTCAAAATGGATTGGAACAACAATCCGAAGCTTTAGATATATTGAGCTCTGATCGAGTAAGTTATCAATTACTTAGATTCTTATAGATAGAAGTATAATTAAGCATCAAATTTTTTTTTTTAGGAGATATTGGAAGAACGTATCCCTCCAGAAATTCAATCTGAATCTGATGTTGATGTAGATGGAGTTCAAAAAATCAAAGATGATATACGAGCTTTAATAAATCAATCCTTCCAAATCATGAAAGAATGTGAAACTAAAATTCAAGAAGTGAAAAAGGCTGCAGATTTAGATGATATTGGTACGTGTTTATTTATATATTGAACATTCTTCTATAATATCTTTATTCATAAAATATTCATAATATTAATAATTCTGAATTTATTTATTTATTTATTTTAGCTCCTATATTGCTTAAAGAAGCTGCAAAATTAACTGCAGCTAGTAACACATCCATAAAACTCGAACCTGCTCATTTTGAAGATTTGTTTAATGAACAAATGAAAAAATATGATAAATTCTTATTGACATGTAACAAATTATCAGATATTCAAGACAACTTGCTCGCTTCTATATCTGTATATATAAATTCCCTTTCATCTCATGTGAAATATTTTGGCTTATTATTGCCTACTAATACTACTATAACATTCATTATGTAGGAGAAATTCGAAGAGTATAATAAAAGACGAAGAATGGCGTCGACCAATCCGAGAAGAACTCAGTTTATACAAACACTTGGGAATGGATATAAATGTTTCATCAATATACTTCAACGATTACAGGAAGGAATGGCGGTAATGAATCTTTGTTTTTTATATATATACACGCAAACATATGTTTATTTACTGTATTACCTTATATATTTAGTTTTATGCCCGTTCGCAAGCGAATGCAGATGAACTAAAGCAAAATTGTCAAGCTTTTGCCACTCAACGAAGAAAAGAAGCTGAACGTTTTTCAAAGTTCATATTAATATATTATTTTAATTTTTATTACTATAATCAAACGCATTCTTATACTTTTATTCTATTTATTTTATTTAGTCTACTTTCGGGATCAACGAGAAATCTCGATTATTCAGATATTTCACAACCTGCATCTCCTGTTCCCAAAGTATGGAACAAAGGAATGCCTATATCATTTTCACCTACATCACGTGGATATCAAAGACCACCACAACCGCCACCACGATGATATATTACTTTACTAAAAAAATAACCATTCGAATAATATAATAGTATGAAAACATCAACTAAATTATTATAAATAGAATTTATTTTATTTAAACATATATGGGTTGTAAGCTAAGAAAATGGAATATCAAACTTTTGAACTAAAGTATTTATATTAATCCTATATATAACCTTTAAAAGATTTTGAAATGATCAACGTGGTTGAGATAATACAATTCAAAATAAAAGTAGATATGGTACTAAAGCTTATATTATGAATTATATAATATAATTTGTATATAACATTTAGGTCATATTTGATTTGTAATAATAAGTTAACAATATAGTATATCATTTTAATTTACTTATTAAAAATTATTTATAAGAATTTCTTTTAAAAATTATTTTTAATTACCAATAATTTTATAATTTAAATAGATTTAATTTTTTTTTTATCTATACATTTATTTTATAAACAAATTATATATTAAAAATGATTTTTAAAGCCAAAAAAATTAGTAAATAATTTGTTTAATATATTTATAATTATAATTTTTAATATTAAACTACTCTAATAAAAAATTTTAAAAAAATAAAAAAAATAAACATAAATATAATTTTTATTTATTCATTATTAAAAATTTTTTTGATCTTTTTTTTTAATATAATAATAATAAAATTATTTTTTTAATATTTCTTAATTTTTTAATTTGATAATTATAATAATTAAAATATTATATAATTTAAATACAAATCTTAAATAAAATATAGTATTATGAATAAAATTATTAAACCAAATTAAAAGTTTTACAAGTTATCTAAATAGTAAAATTTAAAATTTAGCAAAATTATATTAAAATCTTATTAAAAAATCTGCAAACCTCAAAAAAGGTAAAAATATATCAAAATTTATAAAAATAATTAAACTATATTAAAATTTTAAGCAAATTTAAAAGTTTAAAATTTTTATCAAAATTTAAATTAGTTTATAAAAGCAATCTTAGTTATAAATTTTATTTTAAATTTATGATAGTAAATTAATTTAATGATATAAATAATTCAAATTAATCTAAAAATTTTTTAATTTAAATTAGTTTAAATTAGTTTTAGATTGCATAAAAATCAATCTAAAAATTTTCAATTCAATTTAAATTTTTTTCAAATTATAATTTTAATTTAAACTGAAAAAATCTGAACTAAACTGAAAAATTTTAATCTGAATATTTAATTCAACTATATGCAAAACTTTTATAGAATCATAAAATTTATAAATTTTTTAAAAGAATTACACTTTTTTCATAAAACTCTTAAAAGATTGTAAAAATTTATGAATTTTTTAAAAAGTTTATATTTTTTTTTATAAAACTCTTAAAGGATTACAATAAATTTGCAAATTTTCTAAGAATTTCACAAGTTTTTATAAATCTTTACAATTTTTTGCAATTTTTTAAGAATTTCACAAGTTTTACAAATCTTTACAATTTTTTGCAATTTTCTAAGAGTTTTATAATATTTTTATAAATCTCAAAAATAAAATTTGCAATATTTGAAATTTGCATATAATCAAACTAAAATTTTAGATAAATTTAAAAAATTTTAATTCAATTCAGATATTTATCAATTTGTAATTTGATTTAGATTCAGATTAATATTTTTAAAATTAATAATCTGAAATGAATTGAACTAAAATTTCAATTTGAATTCAGATTATCTTCTAATTTAAACTAAATTGAATTATTTAGAGTTTTAAATATAAAATTATTATATAATAATTTTAAAAATATTGTTAACGTGCAATCCTTGCAAATTGCAACAGTTAGATGGAGTGTTCGAGCAGTTTGTTCTTTTTAATTGAGCAGTAATCTTTCAACAGTTTAAAAGTTTTAACACAGACGATTTATTAAAGTATTTATATTATCACAACAAGTTACGATTCAACAGATTGCCAGTAGTGTGTATTTGTAAATATTGTGTTTATTCACGAGTAAAATAATAATAAAGAAAAGAAAAGAAAAGTAATACTAAAACTAAAATGTAATGCGATAGGCCTAGTTGCCTCTAAACTGTAGCGTAATATGATAGGTCTGGTTGCCTCTAAACTGTAATATAATGTGATAGACCTAGTTACCTCTAAACTGTAACGTAATGTGATAGGTCTGGTTACCTTTAAACTATAACGTAATGTGATAGGCCTGGTTACTTCTAAACTATAACGTAATGTGATAGATCTAGTTGCCTCTAAACTATAACGTAATGTAATAGGCCTGATTACCTCTAAACTATAACGTAATGTGATAAGCCTTCAGGATTGGTTACCTACGTCGACTAACAATACCTCACTCACTGCTAAAACTATTCAAGCTATCTTCTCCCTCCTTTACATGAATTAACAAGTTACCTATTTATATAAAATATATTATATAGAGAGATATAACTAATATATCTAATATATCAGCTATATCTAATATGTCCAGTATATCAAATATATCAAATATATCAAATATGTCTGATATATCTGATATTTAGATCTGCAATATATTGCGTCACATTCGTCAATCCAATTCTGTTACAGTATTTGTCAATCCATATTTTCTTTCATCACAACCAACGGTTTAATCTTATACCAGCTAAAATACCCTCAAAATATTACTGATTCTCTTACAAAATTTACTGTAGATTGAATACAATCTTTATTATATACTTCTTTAAGACTTTTCTATACTCTTGCTTGACTATCTGATTGAAAAAAAGAGAACCTTGATTCATCTAATCATACCGCTTATTTGTTTCTCTAATCAATTTATTTTCTTTATACTATTTTAAGCAGTTAGTTTGATAATTATCAGTTAAATGAGGCTTTTTTCTTGCAGTGTAATTTCTAAAACCTCTATTATAAAGATAATTTCTGACTATATTATAGTATAAAGTTGTATTAAGATTAGTATTAAATTCGTCTATCATATAATTAAGAGAAGAAAATTAGTTAGTTTGTATAATATGTTTTAAAACTCAGATATCACATTCTTTAAGTATTTTAAGTCTTTTAAGATATTTCTTAGATTTTACAGAACTAGATTTTTATATTTTTTATAATATTACTTAAGTTACTAGTTAGTATATTAAGTTATGTAGAAATGACTATTTGCTTAATATCAATAAGATATATACTGATTATTCATTTTTAGTTGTCATTTGAAACTTCATTTTCACATATTGAGAACTAGAAGAGTAATAAAATATAATATTTTTATTATCTTTTTTATTTATATATATGATAGAGAAAAATTAGTAATCATAACACAAGGATGCAAATTCACATGATGAAAATCTAAATATTTATTATATGTTAGTATATACATTTAGTACTAAATAATTAGTACTTAATCAGATCTTTATTTATTTTAATTACAGTTTAAATTTACTACAGTATATTATTAATCAAATTTTTGATAGTTTGTATCAGAATTTGTTTTTATGCCTTTATAATATATCAATTGAATTGAACAAGATTGAAAGGTAATTTATTTCTTTTACAAATATTTTTCTTAATTTTAGCTTATAGATTTCTAATAAGATTGAGATCTGAATTTTGGATAGACTATGAAAGTATGCATAAACTATTTTCTGTATAAAATTTCTTTGCAAATTTTATTTTATAAGAGCGAGCATTATTTTTTTAAAATATACTATCACAGTTTGAACATACGTATCTCATAATTAATATGATAAACTTATAAAGAATAATGATATGTGTAATACTAGTGATTGTTTTAGATAATAAAACAATTAGTCTTAAGCTTTATCTCAAAAAATACCCACAAAATATTTAGATAGTGTTATGTTTTACTATTATAGAAATACAAAAATATTTCATTTTTTATGAGATTTATGTCAAACTCAATTACAATAACTTTATTAGAATTGTGAAAAGGTAGATTTATTACTTCATATAACCCTTAATTAATCATCTTTTATCTAATTTTAGTATTTCAAATATTATACAAAATATACTTATACATTTGCTGATATAATTAAAGATTTTTATTAAGCAAAATAATTGTTTAATTCAGTTGCATGAAATTTTTGACTAATATTGTAAGTTAAAATATATTGATTGATTTTTCTTTATCAGTATTATTATACTTTTGCAGTGATAATTTTTTTCTTTATTGTTAGTGATAATTTACTTAAGCTAGCTTTACCTTGAATTTTTAATTAAGGATGATTGATCAAAATAAAACTTTAAATTAATAATTTTGATGTTATCTATTCTTTTTAAAGTGTTAAAAACTGTTAACTTTCTATAACTAATAGTTATGATAATAGTTTGATAATTATCATTACATTGATAGCAAAATTATACTACTGCATTTATTCTATTATTAATTTTTTAGATATTTTCATTATTTTTGAAGATAAATTTTATTTTGATCAAAATCAAAATAAACAAACTAATACATATTTATTTAATTTTTTTCAAGTAATCAATAACTGAAATATTATATAACTATAATTTTATATAATCATATAACATAATCAGTATAAAATAGCTCTTAAAAGATGGTATCTAAAGACTTTTAGTAAGGGTTTATACTATTAAAAGGCAAATACTGATGATAATAATTTGTTTATAATAATAGAAATATTTAATAGTTTTATCGCTCCTTCTGAATCATTTAATAAATTCTCATTTATCAAAGTAACAAGTAAGATTAGTTTTAGAAGAACAGGTTTTAAATTTCCTTTTTTATCTCTGAATCAATATCTAAAAAGCTACTAATAAAGTGCTAGAGTTCTCTGATTCATCATTTTTTTTTGCTATCAAATTTTTTTATGTGAATCTAAGTGATTATTCTTATTAAAATATTCTATAGCTAATAAATCAATTACAAATTAAAATAATTTTACTTCCTTTGATTTTATATAATATTCAATCTTATATTTAGTAAGAGATATTACTACATAAATATATTAAAAAAAAAAGTTTGAAATTTTCAACTTTTAACTACCTAACCTCATTAT